CTTTGGCCGCAGCGTAGCTGCGGCGGGTCAACTTGTTCATTATTACATTAAGTGAAATTAGAGGCTTCGTTTCCTCGTCAACTAGCCAGCATAGAAAATGTCGCGCAAAAGCTCACATATGTATCCCTGCTCCGCGGGTAGTTGGCTTGAGAATAGGCTCTGAACAGATGAAAAACAATGGACATTAGGGCCAGAAGAAGTGACCGTCCAATTACCCAAGTTCGCGGGTTACTATTGGTTGACTGTCAAGGAAAATCAGGCTTCAACTTAGGCACCCTAATATTTCCCGCTGCGTCTCATGATAATACCTAAGGAAAACCACCCCCGTGCTTAGTCAAGGGTTCAACGTTATCCGTTTTGGACGGCCAATCCAATTTGGCTGTCCGACACTGCGACCTGTCCCCTGAAAGTCGTATGTTGGGCTGTTGTATATAGTACGGTCGTGTGGGTTTGACCCGTAGACTTTATCATTAGCAGTAGTTAGCTTAGTGTAGGTCGTAGCTGCTACAATACAACTTTATGATTAGCAGTTGTTAGCTTAGTGTAGGTCATAGCTGCTACAGTACCGAAAGGTCAAGTCTACGACCTTCCAGAAGCTTTAGAACTGACTCTTTGTAGGTCTTAGGAGTCAGTCCGCATCTAAATCAGCAAAGGACAGTCCTAGCACCATCAGCAAAGGGCAGTCTGTGACGCGCAACCTCATGCCCTGTGCTGTCTTTCGTTCGGAGTGTCAGTCGTGCGGAAAGAGGCCCAGAAAAACAGCAAGATGGGGTCATTGGGGTGTGCCAAGGATTTTTGGAAATTGAGTGTGGGGATACAGACAAAACTGAAATCCCCCGTGTTGGTCCGATGAAGTAAGTCGATTGCTTTCGCGCGTCGCAGAATGCGCGCGCAGGCAAGGCGCGAAGAGAGAAAAATCCGAATTCAATCCAAAAAGTATTGTCGGGCTTCTCACCGTGCTACGGCCCGAAGTTTAGAACGGAAAGGCTCGGGCACGCTTCGCGTGTCTCGTTTTCGTATCAAATCCCGTTGTCGTTCGCTGGTCAATTCCGAGTCCGATGTGGATGGTCTCAGCCACGTGGCTCTTTCTTTATGCTCGTCTTCACTCCCCACATGGTCGTGGAAACCCCTGGCTTCATAGCGCTCAAAACGCTGACATTCGGTGCATAGAGTGCGCGGCCAGTGGGGTTCTACTGCCGTCCACGGGATGACGATCAACTCGTTGAATGGCAACAATATCGAATAAGGTGGGAAGTGCGTATCAATAATGACAAACCCGGCCTCCACGAATGCGGAACAACGGTTGGCCGGCGGGAAGTAATATTGCCCGCCGATTTGCGCGACAGCTTCTCGTACGTCCCACTCGCATACACGTGTCCTTTCCTCGTTGTAGGGAAAAGGCCGTGTTGAGACGGGAGGTGCGGGAGGCTGGCGCCCGATCGGAGGGTACTTGTCAGTCCACATATCAATCATTTGCAAAGGCCTTGAGACGTCATCAAGAAAAGAAAATATTTGCGCAACTCACAATCAATTCCTTTCGACACGAGAGAGAGAAAGAAGACACTCCCTCAGGTTAATCATGCATCTAACTAAGGGACCGATCCGCGGCTCAGGGTTAGGGAGCCGACGCGATGYTGATCCCAGGCGCCTTGTTTCTCGAGGCCGCCTCGTGGCTCGGCTGCTGATGTCGTGCAACATAAGGCAGATGGCATGCGCAAAACACTCTTGCATTCTCGAACAAAATTCCGACGACACTCGTCTAATCAACACAAAAAGGGTCACACATCTCCATACATACATCCACTGTGGAAGGTGCAAAAATGAGACTTGCACAGGAAAAGATGGATCGCTTTTACAGTACACACGCATCCACCGTTCACAAGACAAGAGGACGGGGTCCTTGCGTAGGAGGATTACCCAGGAAACTAATGAAAGAGTTCCGGAAGAAGTTTTTTCACGCAAGGAGGACACACAGATTCATTCCTATTAAAGAGAAGAAGAGAGGCAGACGCCGAGACACATCATTATCAAAGGTAGAGTAGAGAGGGGGAGATAGGGGATGTCCAGAGAGACATTCTGCATGGCAGCCGTACACTCACGCCAAAGATAAAGATCCGCAACAAAGGCGCATTCGCCGTTAAGTCCAACATGGCCTCGGGCCAACCACTCACTCAACTCTAATCATGGATCCTCATACCCGCACCGACGATCCCGGCCGTTGCGTGTTAACTCCCACCACTACGATCGTCACCCCGCTGTAGTAAACTCGACACGGTTCGTCCGGATCCCACAGTCCGTCGTGGCGATCCAGCGTGCAACCGGCCAGCCTATCGTCAGCCCGACATGACTTTTTGACTCGTATCAAAACACTCTGCCTAGCCACTGCTTCCCGTAAGCTGGCTTAGGAGTCGAGAACGTAAGAGAGATTTGCGGGCGCGCTTGCGGGTTTTATAGTTGCGACGAGGGAGATAGAAGGGGGAGAAAGCGACGGGAAGGCTGAGGTGTAAGAGGAGAAGCAGGAGGAGAAGACTTTGAGAAGAATGCTCTGCGAACGCCATGTTGATCCCCCGAAACTCGAGGTTCAACCAATCAGATTCGTCGTGCAATAGGAAGGTTCTATTGCTCCACGCACCTGATTGGCGAGCGGGAGTTGTTGATGGATCGACCGGGCGTGGTGCGCCAGACTCAGAGGGTGAGAAGAGAAAAGGCGCGAGAAGTAGCGCAAGACGGGTCCAAGATTCAGATGATCAAGAAGGGAAATGAGCGCACAAAAAGCAAGGCGGGAGAGAGAGAGAAGGAAAACAGTTACGGGGAGAGAGAAAAAGGAGGGAGAAGAGAAAGGAGGCGCGGGAGGGAGCGATGCGGGGGACAGAGAGGAGAAAGTTTTTGCAGATGCGGCACCGTCAACGAAAAGAGAGAAAAAGGCACCGAAACAGTTACAACTTGCTTCTATCCTAATTCAAAATTGAAATCACCATATCCGCGCACGAAAAAGCGACGCGGGAAAAGAAAATCCTACGCCTATTCGTATTCACGCAAAATTTTGAGAGTTTTCCCCGAGGCGACCAAGAACATTCATACATGCGAAAAGAACACGTCAAAGTTCCGCTTATCCCGGGATTCCCAAGTGCCGAGCCCAATTCCCCGTGCGCTCGCTAAGGCACACGTAAATTCCCATGTATTTCCCAACTTGCAAAAAGGAAAACCAGAACCCGGAAATCGAAAAAGCTTCCTGAAAGAAAGGAAATGCGACATCCGAAAATAAGAAAACGAAAAGGGGGTTTTAATGGGGTTAGTATGATACAAAAACAGGGGTACGGAAGTAGCTCGTCACATATGTGACGCGCAGGGGGTTCCAAAATTATGCGATCTCCTGATTGCATGTCATGGCGGAAAAAGAGAGAGAAAAGGGGGAGAACAAAGTGATGCATGAGGAACCAAGCGTATCAACAAACGATCCAGCCAGAGTCCATGTTGACGCCAACTTCAATTGCAATCCTTTGTCTGCTGCTGGAATCCTCGATGGTCATCCAGGTGACGCCATCATCGTCTGGTGGTTCTCCGTGTGCTTTACACCCCAGCTGATCGCTGCCCGTCGAATCGGAGCGTAAGTTGACGTCATCGTTGATGGCGTGATCTTCGTGAAGCTTACTGATTCGTGTCGTCTTCCCCTGCTAGTGAAGAAAGGAGAGAGGGAGAGAGAGGGGGGGGGGGACTCGGAGGGTAGGCGTATGATCGGGGATCTACCTCCTAGTTGGAATGGGCCAATAGAGATGGTACATGGGGGGGATCTCACGGGGTCGACGGGGAGGAAGTGGGGGTAGGAAGCGGTTCATCCCTTCCATCGTCACCGGAAGCTCCTCATATCGGATGATCCGGTGGAAGCGAGGGAAGTGATCGCCGCTGCGGGGGAGAGAAGCGAGGTAGTCACGATAGAAGGAGGAGAGGGTGAGGAGAAGCGCTGCTCGGAAGATCTCGTAGGGGCGACAGGCGGGGATTGTTCCCGTGGCGATGCAGTAAACTTCTACTACGTTGCATCGCTCCCATGCGGTGCTGAACAAAAGAATATGCCAGGAGAACGTGGGGGCAGCAGGGCGAAGGGATGCGTGGGGGTGGACGGTGGCGAGCAAGCGGGTAGAGTAGAAGTCGCGGAAGAGATGGGGAATGAAGGGATGGGGAGGGAAGGTGACGGGGGTGCGGATCTGCTCAAGGGTGAGGAAGTCAAGGGGTCGGGGGGATAGCGTGCAAGGACGAAGGCCTATCGCCCGCATCGGTACGTGGGCGAACTGGGGGACGGGCGGGGCTGGAGGAGGAGGAGGATCGGCTTCGTCTCCGTCCCGTGGTAATTGAGGCCGTGGCTGCAGGGTCGCCATCTTCGGGCTTTGGCGGCTGCGGATCCCTGGTCGGATCGTTGCCGATGCGCAGGCTGGCTCCACTTACGAACTCCAGCTGTCGCTTCCCGGTGGTAATTTCTTCGCGCTTTCGGGTTGCTGCCGGATCTTCTGCCTCTGTTCCCGTGTGCGTCGCTTCCTCTGGCAAAGCTTCCCACTCAGACCTGGTTTCTTCTTCCTCCTCTTCTTCTTCACTCTGCTCACCCTCGCTATATTCGCTATAGCTTCCCTCCTCCGATGTTTCCTCGTCTTCGTCCTCTTCGTCGTCTTCGTCGATCACCACTTCCTCCGCCCTCGGATAAAAGGCGTGAGGGATGATATCGTACGGTTTGAGATACTCCTGCCGTGATGGTAGCGTATCCTCGTCCCTCGGTTCCTCCAAGCACGCAGTCCACTGAAGGTACGGATCCAGTGCTCGCTCGAGAATGTGTGGAGCAGGACTATCGTCACTTTGCGAATAAATGTCAGGCGAGAGATCGTCCGCCAATTGCACGATCGACGCGATGAGCTCCTGCGCAATTAGTTGTCGGCGACCCGGCCGTACCGATCCGAAGAGAAAGCCAAGAAGATCTCCTTCCACGTTAGTTCTCCAAGCCTGTATGATGAGCAGCTCTGGGTTCTCGATCCACGTGGGATGCTCGCTAGTGCCCGTCCACGTCACCTGTACTCGGGCCAGGCAGAAGGACAACTCGTCAAAAGCTTCGCGCCACAACCGCTAATGCCCAGGATTGATAAGTGGGGCAGAAAGAGGTTCGAACGTGAAGGAAAGAGAGGGATGAAGATCGGATTGCCAGAAGGTGGGAAAAAGAGAGGGGAGACCGAAGATAGAGATAGGAGCGAGAGGATCGGCGTGGTTCATTGGAGACCGGGGAAGGGGACGAGGGTGGGGATCGCCACTGGCCGCTCGCGCGGCGATCGACGGATATCGCCAATATCGGGTGCAAAGGTTGGGATGAGGTTATGCCCAGGTCGGGCGAGAACGTGCTGCCACACGTTGGACACTTGCTCCGTCCACTCGCGCAGCGATTCCAAGATCGCGGTATGCCGTTGCGGATTGACCGAGCTGATGTCGCCACTGAACGCTGCAACCGTGGTGACGTGGCTGGTCCGGGGAGCCGCCCGCCGATGAACTGCGATTACCTCCGCAAATACTATTGTGTGAGGACTCCCTTCGATTCGAAACGCGGCGGCGGCACAGATGCCCGTGTCGCAGAAAAATTGCACCAAACGCCGAAGATCCGTATTGAGCCGGGGGTGACAGACTTGCCGAATCTCTGAGATGTGGCCACGTGGCTGCAACAGCTGTGCGTCAAGAGCCCGCTCCGTGATGAAACTCATGGCGAGGTGGGAGAGGAGGACGAAGGGCAAGAGGGAGAAAGAGGAGAGAGAGTTAGATCGTCGTCGTTCTCCTCGCTTTCTGAGGAAGAAGAGAGGGGAAGATCAGAAGGAGGAAGAGGACGGAGGTTGGAGGTATGTCGGACGATGGGGACAAAGCTATGGCCGGCACTAGCCTCAGGCGCAATGCGCACCGTGTTGGCGCCGTTAGGTCCGAGCTCGACAACGCGAAAACAGCTAGAAAACTTGGGAGCGAGTTTCCAGTCGCGTGCACATTTACGTACCTGCACTAGGTCCCCTAATTTATATTGTTGCTGGGGCCCAGCATTTCCATTCCGGGCCTCGTAGCTACGGACTTGTCTACCGTGGGCCAGTTCGGTCATCCTTTTCCTTTTTCGGGCTAGCTAGCTTGGATGGCCCGTTCCATTAATTCGGTGTACCTTTTGGCCTTGGCTTTGAGAGCTGCATGCATGTCTCTACCCCCTGCTTCGGCAATTTTCGAGTTACCCCGGTATTCGACACAGGGGAGGCTATTAGTTCGAAGCTGAAAGGGGGTAGACCCCGTAGACTCGTGAGGGGTGGCCCGGTCCCGATGATCTGATACACGATCTCGGGCCATGGACGCGTGTCGTGTGCCGATAAGTTCCTGCGAAGGGCGGTCTTAATCATACGGTTGGCATTTTTGGCCAACCTGTTCGACTGGGACACGTGGGGTGCCGTATGTCGGAGCGTGACGCCCCTTCGCGCAAGCAGTTCTTCTACCTCACCTTTGAATTCAGATCCATTGTCGGTTAGAATTTCTTCCGTATCTAGATGGGTATAGAGGAACCGTTCGATGTACGTGGCTATTTTTGCGGCCTTTCGGGTCTTACAGGGATARACTTCGATGTAYTTGGAAAAATGGTCAAYTAATACTAACAGGATAGAATATTCACAGCGGTTTTGGCCAGGTGGCACGTCAATATCTGTCGTGTCCATACTGACTCGCTGGAAAGGACGCTCTACTTTCGTTGGTACTATCGTGTTTGGTCCCCGTATAGGGGTGCGATCAGCGGCACGGACTAGACAGTTAGCGACAATGTATTTGACATCATCTCGTATATTGGACCAGAACCGATGGTTCTGGTATACAGTTGCCTCCGTGACATGTATCGCGAAATGTGCGGCCTGTTCTTCGTGAGCAGATCGGATCCAATCGTATCTCTGGAATGGATGGGGAACCATCAGCCACGAACCTGATCCGTCAGTTTACGCTTTTCCAAATGACCGTTGATCCATCGATAGTCCCGAGATCTCTCGGTCGCCCTACGTCTGTCTTGTTTGGTGAGGTGGCCCAATGATAATCCTCCTAATTTTGCTAATAAAATTTTATCCATCCAAACCTCCGCTCGTCGGTATTTTTCGTCATATTCGGGGCCTTCTGTACGGGCAGCCTTGAATCGAACCTCCGTGGGGAGTTTGTTCGTTCTACATAGGGGGCACCTCCATTCCTTGCTACTTGTCCGATATCGAACGCAGGCCCCGTGCGCACGATTGACACACGTGGCACATTCTACCCAATCGATAAACCCGGTTTCGAAGGGATGACAATCGACCCCATAAACCCGTGCAATACACGTGCAAAAATAACAGAATTTATCGAGGAGGGTGGCGAAGAAAGCTGAGGAGGTGAGAGGGGCAGAATTATTAGGAGAAGAAGGGATTGCGGAGGCAGGCGGGGTAGTCATGATGACAGAGGAGGAGAGATGAATTGTGGAGAGAGTAGAACAGACAAATTAGTCCTCGTGTCACTTACTGCTTCGACAAAATCTCCACTTGGTCGTACCGAGGTCCACTTTCCTGTTCGGGTTCGTTCCACGGAATCACCTCCTCATTCTTCGGAACTCTCTCAGGCCGGTGCAGACATGTCAGTCCGTCCGCATTCCCGTGTCTCTCGTGCTTTCGATGACGAATGTCAAAGTCCATGCTCTGCAGCACCGTTGCCCATCGCTCGATCATGCCCGAGTAATCCTTCGACTTCTTCAGAGCCAGCAGGGGAGTCACCAGAGTGAATCTTCGCCCATACAGGTAAGCACGAAAGTGACTGATTCCCCAGAGAGCCGCATAGCATTCTCCCGTCGGAGCGGCGTAGTTGCGCTTGCAGGCGGGCACTGATTTGGACGCATACTCCACCACACTCTCGAGTCCGCTTGGTCCAACCTGGGCAAGGATCGCCAAATCACCTTTGGCTGCCAGTCAGTGGTGAGAACAAAAGGCTTTTCGGGATCCGGTCTTATAAGGACCGGAGTCGAAATGAGAGCGGCCTTGAGTTTGAAAAACGCTTGATCGCACTCCGGCGTCCAGATCAACGGCTGATCCTTGCGCAGCAGATTTGTGAGGGGTCCCGCAATCGTCGCGAAGCCCTTGATAGATCTTCGGTAGTACGAGGCTAGGCCCAGAAAGTCGCGAACTTGCGTGATAGTCGTAGGCACGGGCACGTCCCTGACAGCTGCCACCTTCTGCGGCTCCGGTTGGAGTCCCTTGTCGGTCACCACGTGCCCTAGGAAGGAAATGGTGGTGAGGAAAAACTGACACTTCTCAAGCGCCACCTTGAAATCCGCATCTCGTAACGCATGCAGTGCCCATTCGATGTGCTGCACGTGTCCCTCGTAGGAACTCAAATACACCAAGATGTCATCCATGTACACAATCATGCAGTAGTTGATGATACTCTGCGCCAAACGAGTCTTCCTCACGAAATTCTGAAAAGTCATGTTCATGGCCCGCTGAAAGGTCGCGGGGGCGTTGCAGATACCCATCGGACATCGAATTCACTACCACGTACCTTCGAAAAGCACAAACGCTGTTTTCGGTCGATCTTCCTCTTGAACAAGAAGATGATGGAACCCATGGCGAACATCGAACTTGCTGAAAAATCGAACACTCCCAATCGCATTCAACAACTCATCAATCCGCGGGAGGGGGTACACATCTTTGATCGTGATATCATTCAACTTTCGATAATCAATGGAAATGCGAATCCCTCCAACCTTTTTAGGTACGATCACTACAGGGAAAGACCATGGACCTATAGCGGGTTCGATCCATCCATTAACTTCGAACTCCTTAATCCGCTGAAAAGCGGCCGCTCTTTGAGCTGGCGAATATCGGTAGGGGGCGCAGCTAATGGGCTGATGATCTCCCGTGAGGATGGCATGCTCAATCACATTAGTTAAGCCGATATCATTGTTATGCATGCTCAACACTTCTGCGTAACTATTTAATACACAGACTAACGACTTCCGAAATTCCGCGGGAACGTGACTCGGGAGGGAGATTGTTGATTCCCCGAAAATCTTAAGGGGCATATCGACCCAATCATCCAGCCGTTCTCGCTGATCATCGATACTATAGAAAACAGAACTACTGGTGCGAACAGAGAAGACAGTTGCTATTATCTGGGACACAGCGGGGTTGATCATCTCCGTTTCGTTTGTTTCAGCGTCAGTTTCTGAACCAACCGAGGTCGGTTCCACAGTTAGCCCTGTTAGATCCGTCATTTCTTGCATCAGATTAGGTACATCACTTACCGGTGCTTCCGCCTCTTGTTTAATCAAGGCGATGGTGGCTCCTGTCGTCAGTAACGATCTGGGCGGAAAAACATAAACGTCTAAATACTGTTTCGTTTGCTGATAACGCGTTCGTAAGGAGAGAGCTCCCTCGTACAAGGTGCGAGGGGGTTCCAAATCATCAGCCAGATCGGAAACTTGTAATAAGGGTTCCCCGAGGAGGACTGAAGGACTGACCTGGGTTGTCAGAGGCGTGCACACGCTGTCTTCGGCGTCCACGTGGAAACTTCGGGTGGTGTCGGGGCACACTTGAAATTCTTCGGGAATTTCCCGTTCGAAAAGTTCGACCAGGTGCTTCCATTCATCCTCACTGGGCATCTCTTCTTCGTATTCCTGTTCCCTGATTCCATTATTGATGTTCGAAGGAGAGCACTCCTCGGGATCGATGCATCGAATCATCCCGATTTGGGCCGAGTTAGGGACCCGTTTTATCGTTCGGGTGGAAACTCGCAAGGGAACAGTTTGAGGCTTTCCCCCAGTTTGCATGAGCACCAGTTGTTTCGAATCAAAATGCAGACATGCACCCACCGCCATCGCCCAAGGTAATCCCAACAACACAGAATAGGAATGTACATCTATTACGAGCGCGTTAACAAGGACGTGTACTCGTCCGACTTTTACATCCACGTTCTCGATAATGCCTACGATGTTCATTGCTTCCTCGTCGGCAGAGACATAATTATCTTTGCCAAATTAAGGAAGAATGGATCCAAGTTGTCCCGTCTTTTTGACAGTATCCAATGATATGGCCACTGCAGAAGACCCTATGTCGATAAGGGCATTAAACGGCTTGCCCCAAACTTCACAATCACATTCCGCACTTTTCCATAGTACCGGCCGAGCTCGTACGAAGTGATCCTTTTCTGCTAAAGAGATTGCTGCTATTCGTGCAGCTTCGGGTTCAGGTTTTTTTGTGTCCGGCTCGGGGGTACAACTTCCTCGCTTCCTTCCTTCTTCTTCAACATCCGTTGTATGCGCTGATAGGTGAAACGCTTTTGATTTTTCTGGCAATGTTGTAAAAGCTTATTATTCACCGCTTCAGATATGGTGAGCAGATGTCCTACTGGGATAGGAACGCGAATATCTAGTTGCTTGAGCGTTTTCAATATATCAATGTCTCCTGTCCGAAACTGCGGTCCAGGATTGGATTCGCGATCGACCCACTCGAGATCATCTGGGACCGATCGGATCGCTCCGATCATGCCTGCAAGATGGAGATACTCGAGAGGATCGACCACGTCAGCAGCGTCAGAGGAAGAAGCTCCCGATGTCGATGCAGTTGCCATCGAAGGGGAAGGCTGCTCTGGGGCGTATGCCATGAGTTCTCTTCCTTGATCCGTATCCATCAGAGCGGCCACTCGTCCTTGATTAAGGGCGACGGGGGCCGCAGCAGGGGGAGGCTGATTACGTTTCGGCTGCGGACAGTCCCGGGCGAAATGCCCGGGCTGTTTGCAGTTAAAGCACTCGATTTTTCCTGCTGGATTAGCTAGATGAGGGAACTGAGGTGCGAACCCTGGAGCAGGCGGGGCAGGTAAGAGCGGAAATGAAGCAGGGGCAGGCTGAGCAGGAGCCGGGTTAGGCTTAATTAACCTGCTCATTATCTGTTCCATTCGTTCCATATGAGCGGCCTATATTTGGATCAAGTTGCTCATCCATTCAGACTGCTTGGTAGTGGCCGTATGGATCATCTGGGCAAGGTGTAGGTTGGTTACGGCTGGCGAGGGGGGTTTGGATGAGATTCCGCTTTGGATGAAATTCCGCTTCTAACGGTTGCGATCGATTGATTCACCGGGGGAGAGGGAGGAGAAGCAGTCGGGATATCGGAAACGATCCCGCCGGGAAGGTCATGGTCGGGGCGAGGATAAAACCGTTCGACCGCCTGCAGCCATGATTGCCTTTTAGCCGTTACATCTCGTATGGTATCTGTAATATCTTCGTCTCCCTGGCTGGTATATTTTTTTTGTATCAGCCAGGTTTAGTTCCAATGCTTTAGCAATGATAGCCGATAACTGGTGTGTTTTCGGCGGGACCTTTTTCTGCAGTTTCCCTTTCAATGTCGGACTTCGAAGGTGATCAATGAACAAATCTCGAGCGGATTTCTCGTCTCGCCCGGATTTATCGAACACGGTTTGAAATCGATTGACGAAATCGTGCAACAATTCCCCTGGTCCTTGTGGTCGATTTTTGAGTACGTACCAAGCGGCATCTTCACTAACCGTATCGAATCGAGCCAAGAATGCTTGCTTGAAAGTATCCCAATCTACCCACGTATGTTTTCTAAACCAGTTATGTGATGTATTGCAGAGTAGCAATGTCGGAACGCGGGGGAGATCGGTTGCGCTGTAGTTCTGAGCTTCGACAACTTCCAGCCAAGCCTCGGGATGGGTATGGTTAGGGAAGAAGGGGAAGGGGGCAGGAATGCTAACGATCACCCTAGTACCGTCCACCATGGATATTGTGGGTGCAGCCGCACCAGACTGAGACCTGGTTACTGGGCGATCCCGACGAGCTAGTCGAGGGTCTCTCCTACCTCTCGCCAGTTCGACTTACTATCATCAGAACCGACACGTGTCGACCCCGATACCAACCTCACGCCCTGTGCTGTCTTTCGTTCGGAGTGTCATTCGTGCGGAAAGAGGCCCAAAAGAACAGCAAGATGGGGTGTGCCAAGGATTTTTGGAAATTGAGTGCGGGGATACAGACAGAACTGAAATCCGCCGTGTTGGTTTGATAAAGTAAGTCGATTGCTTTCGCGCGTCGCAGATTGCGCGCGCGGGCAAGGCGCGAAGAGAGAAAAATCGAAATTCAATCCAAAAAGTATTGTCGGGCTTCCCACCGTGCTACGGCCCGACGTTTAGAACGGAAAGGCTCGGGCACGCTTCGCGTGTCTCATTTTCGTATTAAATCCCGTCCTCGTTCGCTAGTCAGTTCCGAGTCCGACGTGGATGGTCTCAACCGTGTGGCTCTTTCTTTATGCTCGTCTTCACTCCGCACACGGTAGTGGAAACCCCTGGCTTCGTAGCGCTCAAAACGCTGACATTCGGTACATAGAGTGCGCGACCAGTGGGGTTCTACTGCCGTCCACGGGATGACAGTCAACTCATTGAATGGCAACAATATCGAATAAGGTGGGAAATGCGTATCAATAACAACAAACCCGGCCTCCATGAATCCGGAACAACGGTTGGCCGGCGGGAAGTAATATTGCCCACCGATTTGCGCGACAGCTTCTCGTACATCCCACTCACGTACACGTGTCCTTTCCTCGTTGTAGGGAAAAGGCCATGTTGAGACGTGAGGTGCGGGAGGTTGGCGCCCGATCGGAGGGTACTTGTCAGTCCATATATCAATCATTTGCAAAACCTTGAGACGTCATCAAGAAAAGAAAATATTCGCGCAACTCACAATCAATTTCTTTCCACACGAGAGACAGAAAGAAGACACTCCCTCAGGTTAATCATGCATCTAACTAAGGGACCGATCCGCGGCTCAGGGTTAGGGAGCCGACGCGATGTTGATCCCAGGCGCCTTGTTTCTCGAGGCCGCCTCGTGGCTCGGCTGCTGATGTCGTGCATCATAAGGCAGATGGCATGCGCAAAACACTCTTGCATTCTCGAACAAAATTCTGACGACACTCATATATTCAACACAAAAAAGGTCACACATCTTCATACATACATCCACTGTGGAAGGTGCGAAAATGAAACTTGCACAGGAAAAGATGGATCGCTTTTACAGTACACACGCATCCACCGTTCACAAGACAATAGAACGGGGTCCTTGCATAGGAGGATTACCCAGGAAACTAATGGAAGAGTTCCGGAAGAAGTTTTTTCACGCAAGGAGGACACACAGATTCATTCCTATTAAAGAGAAGAAGAGAGGCAGATGTCGAGACACATCATTATCAAAGGTAGAGTTGAGAGGGGGAGATAGGGGATGTCCAGAGCGACATTCGGCATGGCAGCCGTACACTCACGCCAAAGATAAAGATCCGCAACAAAGGCGCATTCGCTGTTAAGTCCAATATGGCCCCGGGCCAACCACTCACTCCACTCCAATCATCGATCCTCATACCCGCACCAACGATCCCGGTCGTCGCGTGCTAACTCCCTTCACGGCGATCGTCACCCCATTGTCGTAAACTCGACACGGTTCGTCCGGATCCCACAGTCCGTCGTGGC